TAGTTCGCTTATTATATCTTGTGATTACTTTTTTTTTTAATGTGGAACAACACAATTTTTGTTTTTTCTCTTTTCTATACTCATTCGCCTAATCATTGATGTTGTGATACTATTAAGAGAGAGAGACCAATTCAATATACCAAGATACAAAAATTCTTTTTAGTTTTTTACAAAAAGAAATTTTTTTCGAAATTTTATTAGTTGCTAGGAGGAGATCTAGAAAAAAAACACCAAAAAGAAGTCTGATTTCTGTTCTCTCTCTCTCTCTTTATCTTTAACTGGTTTGTATTGTTTATCTTCTTTTTTTTAATTTATTTTTTCTCTTTAATTAAATGGATCAATATGGTTTGTATTCATCATTCCAATTAAATCATTCACACATTATCAGTGTTTATTTATCTCTATAAGGTTATAATAAACCTTTAGTTAATGTGTTTTCATTATGGTAATATGAAGGTGTTTGGGTTTTTTCTTTGGTAATTGCAATCATAGATTATATTTTAAGTTAGTTTATTTATCTCTTATAGTTATTCTATGGTAGTTCTCGGTGTTCAATTAATAATTATTATAACGTTTTACTAGGTTAATACCTAGTTACAAAGAAAAAGATTAATCATTGCACTATTTGTTTGTGATGATATTGTAGGTTAGGTCCTGGAAATTGACATCTTATTCTGTTTCACTAACTTGAGATTTTTATTAACGGTGGGCCCCCAAATGCTTTGGTACGGCAGAGAGTGAGGAGAGTCCGATCTCTCCCTCTTCGAATTCTTTCACATTACCACGCGTATATAGCCTCTACCTGACAAATCCTACTCACTGCCTTCTCGTGGTATTACTGTTGTTTACGAAATTGAGAGGACAAAAAGAATGCCCGGCGCTTTAACCGCACCGGTGGACACGGAAATCCAACTAGGGGAGTTGGTATACCCTCTTTCCAAACCAATGGTGCATATGGGCTCCAGTATCCTGAGGGAACAAATCGCGTATGAATCAATTGTTGGTCACCGGCTACCATAGGACTGCATCTCCTCACGATACTCCACTGCCTTGTGGATCAGATCTTTAGATCAAAGGCTCTGAGTGTGGCCCCCTAAGAAAACCACCTGTTTCGGTTTGGGCAGCTGGACAGTATCACAGCCCTCACACAAATCAAATGAGATTTGTGTGGCGCATATATATCTGGTGCCTTTATGTGTTTAAATAAATAAATACCATACTCTATAGGTAGCATAACTCCTTGCGTTACGCAGTAATTATGATATTCATACCGCTTGTTTCAAATCACTTCAAATTTTTTTAAATAAAACACTAAAAACAAGCTTGATACAATAAATTGTAAACAATGCATCACTCTCGGTTTCAATACTTATGGTTTGTGTTAGGTCTAGGCTACACTCCGGTAACCAAAATCAAAGCAACTGGTTTCCGTGGTACAATATTTTCCAATTCCCATATCATTCTCGAGCCTATATATACCAAAAATTTTAACTTAGGTACTCTAACATCTGAGCACGTGAAAGCATTGAGTTTGAGTTCCATGACTTCCTGGTGATATAGCAATATTTGATGGTAGAGAGCAGACAGTGTTAACCCCCATATAGTTGAGGTGTAGGTATATTTACTCCTTGTCTTCCCTTAAACTATAGGATTAAAATTACTTTATACCGTCTACGAACCAATCCTTTCTCCCTGTGTCACATCCTTATATATACAATCTTTATTCATATATATTACTACCATTAAAGTAACTGCTTCTATGAATTTGACATTCATCTTTTTGTGCTTCTAAGGTATGACAACTTTGATCGATGCATAAATGTTTCGATCTTACATTGTTAATGACTGACGATCTCGACTTCTAATAATTACAGGTTTTTAAATCGTTGTCTAGCTTAGATCAATTCGTGATTTCAACTATGGAAATATATCAGTCTTCACAAATCCTCCATATTGATAACAATGAGTAAAGGGGACTTTTTAAACAATAAATAGTATGATCATTGATTATATAATTAGTTCCAGTTAGTTAGTTAGTTAAATATGATGATACATAAATGCAATTGATAAAATGTACTTACTGATCAATATTTTTTGATCGGATCGAAATAAATAGATGTCTAATATTGATTATTCATTTGTAAAAAAAGTGATTGCTATGCATAACTAAGTGTACTTTTTTTGTTCTGTACAAACATAGAAAAATGAAATTGTACAACTCATTTTTGTTTATATAAATAGAGAAGTGTATTGATTGTTTGCAAGTATTTATTTATTTTATTTAAACACATAAATTATTGGTACAAGGAAGCACCAGATACATATGCGCCACACAAATCTCATTTGATTTGTGTGAGGGCTGTGATACTGTCCAGCTGCCCAAACCGAAACAGGTGGTTTTCTTAGGGGGCCACACTCGGAGCCTTTGATTTAAAGATCTGATCCACAAGGCAGTGGAGTATCGTGAGGAGATGCAGTCCTATGGTAGCCGGTGACCAACAATTGATTCACACGCGATTTGTTCCCTCAGGATACTGGAGCCCATATGCACCATTGGTTTGGAAAGAGGGTATTCCAACTCCCCTAGTTGGATTTCCGTGTCCACCGGTGCGGTTAAAGCGCCGGGCATTCTCTTTTTGTCCTCTCAATTTCGTAAACAACAGTAATGCCACGAGAAGGCAGTGAGTAGGATTTGCCAGTTAAAGGCTATATATTCGCGTGGCCATGTGATAGCATTTCGAGAGGGATAGTGGACTCTCCTCACTCTCAGGTGTACCAGGGCATTTGGGGGCCATTAGTTGCAACTGATGTTATTTTTATTTCACTAAGATCTAAAATGATGTGAATTATTTCGATAAAGTTGTATAGAGTATCATTAAATAGGGCAGTAGTATTTATTGGTAATGTTGATATCATAATGAATATAGTTTGAGAGTAGAATTCTTTTATTTACAAACAGTTTTCATTATAAACTGTGATATCTTTTGAGGGACTGTAACCCTTTTTTATGGTAGGCATACTGAAGTCATCCAAAGACATTTACTGGATTAAACGTTATGGCGTTTTCCATTGTAGCTTACAGACTAGGATATTTGGCTTTCAACGTATATGTTGTGGGTTCAAACCGCAGCTCATCTGTTTCTGTTTAATAATAATAATTAATGGCTTTATTCAATATTATAATCTGGTACAATATAGAATTCTCAGCACGAGTTATTTCAACAAGTTTTTTTACCAAAAAAAAACACAAAACAAAAAAACCAGTAGCTACTGCGCCACCACAGGTCTTTTTATTGTTTGATCGATCCTGACGATAGATATTAAAATCACGTAATGATACTAGGCAATCATCCTGTAAGTCAGTCAATCAAGATTCTTGAATTGTGATGACACCACAATTACGAAACATGTTTTGACTTAGCAGAAATTGGAGATAGTCCACCTTGTTAATTAGAGATCGATAGTTAGAATTAAGCAGCTCGGGAATCGACATTTGATTAATGTTTATTCTCTCTAAAGCATATTGCCAAACACCACAATGTCTCTTATTGTACTTGTTTGTAATTTTTGCAGCGAAAGGACGTAAGCTTTTCATAAACGCGCCTGTATAGGTTATGCGATCAAGAGACATAATGATAGGTTAAAACCAATTTTTAAAAAACCCAGATAACTTGTTGAAATATTTAGATGGCAGAAACAGGTAGCCCATGGATTCAAGCAGGCCGCCGTACAGAAGAACAAAATGAGCTAGCTTAGAGGCAAGTATACAAACATGCATCAGATAATTGAGTTGAACAATGAAGTCTCGTAGAGAACGGGGTTATTTTTCTGTCACTCAATTATCAACTACAGGTTTGTACACTTACTTTTGAACCAGACAGTTAACGTGAATGCGAGTCATCAGCTGGTCAGTCATAACCAAAGTAAGCCTTGGCATAAATGTGGATTATTCACATTCAACATACCATATCAACACAGAGATAAAACTGGCAAGATGAGTAGTAGTATTAGTGATAGTAAAGAAAACAAAACATGCAGAATACGGTCAAAATAGAAGGAATGTAATAAGGAGATAAAGAGTATAAGACAATATTAAAACTTTTAATTTAGGCTGATGATTCGTGTTGCACAGTTGCCTGCTTGAATCCATGGGCTACCTGTTTCTGCCATCTAAATATTTCAACAAGTTATCTGGGTTTTTTAAAAATTGGTTTTAACCTATCATTATGTCTCTTGATCGCATAACCTATACAGGCGCGTTTATGAAAAGCTTACGTCCTTTCGCTGCAAAAATTACAAACAAGTACAATAAGAGACATTGTGGTGTTTGGCAATATGCTTTAGAGAGAATAAACATTAATCAAATGTCGATTCCCGAGCTGCTTAATTCTAACTATCGATCTCTAATTAACAAGGTGGACTATCTCCAATTTCTGCTAAGTCAAAACATGTTTCGTAATTGTGGTGTCATCACAATTCAAGAATCTTGATTGACTGACTTACAGGATGATTGCCTAGTATCATTACGTGATTTTAATATCTATCGTCAGGATCGATCAAACAATAAAAAGATCTGTGGTGGCGCAGTAGCTACTGGTTTTTTTGTTTTGTGTTTTTTTTTTGGTAAAAAAAACTTGTTGAAATAACTCGTGCTGAGAATTCTATATTGTACCAGATTATAATATTGAATAAAGGCATTAGTTATTATTATTATGATGTGGGTGTGAAGGATAATGTTGCTACTCGTCTGCCGAAAGTGAAGTCGGTTTTGAATCTGACATATTATAGTTAAAAGTCGAATTCATTACCTAGTATATGACATTGTTCTACTTCAATATTGTGAACTATGTAAAATGAACCGGAATGAGGTAACCTTGCATTGTTAACCAATTCTGAGTATATTTTTTAAAATGTGTGCAATGAGTTGTATTTTTATGTAAAATTTAATTGTTCCTTTTGTTTATCAACCTCTTATTTTCATTGGATGCATGGATATACAGGACCTGTATCAAAAAGTTTTAAAAGATCCAGATCCTGTAGCATTTTGTGATCTTGCTGCTCGTATACTTCGGTTTTTAAATCATGACGATCCGGATATTTGTATGGCAACTCTTGATCAAGCACTTGATCGTTTCGCAATTGATAAACGTACTTCATATAGAATTAATATGCAACGTCATCGTAACGGGAAATTGGTGCATCAATTGGGACCGGCAGCTAGAGCTGCATTATTGGATAATTTAATTGAATCAGTGTATGATGAACAGCCGGATTTCAATTTTACAACATGTTTCAATAGTTCCATATCTACAAATAGTGGTGGTGGTGTACGTGGTGGTGCTAATGGTTCCGGATCAACTGGTCTTGACCGAATTGATGCACAGGATTTATTTGGTTCTGGAGATTTAGGATCGGGTGATGGAGGTAATGTTTTTGCTGAAACAGAAGATGTCAATGTACTTATTAAAGCTGGCCAGGATGCTCAAGGATGTAGTTACTATTATATGGATGGTAAGTGTATTTGCTTATTGTTCATCCATTTATATATATACTCATAATTTCATGTTAAATGATTTTGACTTATATACTTTTCTATTTATGAAAATGAGTACTTAATCGAAATCATTTCTTGAAAGTTGTAATTCTTTAAGATGAAAGCCGTAGTTGTAAAATATAAGACATAGTATCTTGCAGTATCCCATACACTTACGATTCAATAAATATACACTAAATTGGCCCTTCGTATCATCTTTATGGTTTCTGAAGGCATCAGTCCTTGATTCTCGTCTATGTGTAGACTTTCTGGTTAGGTAAACTGATTAATATTCTCGACTATTTCACTGTCTAACGTTAGATTAAATATCAGTTCTATCATCATTTCGTTACGGTCCTTTTTTGAAAGGTTGGTGTTGGGAATCCTTGACGTCAATTAAAAGGGCATATGAAATGAATTTCAAGAACAATAAATTAGTGAACATCCTCAATGAATACCAGTTAAATTGTTCACTTCTAATGGTTGCTCACCTCAACCTTCAATGTGACAACTACTATTTAGTGAAAAAAAACACATTTATGTAGTATATGTAACATAGTGATAAGTTATAAGTTTCAAAAATGAACAATTATAGGTTTACCAAAGATCCGAATCAAACAGCATTAAGATGTATCTAGTAGATATATACACACTTGACTTAAAATTGTCCAGGTTTAATAAAACGTTGAGTAACTCTATCTTTATAGATAATATAAACTATTTGAGTTAAGATTATTCTGTTTTTCTGAATCTGTTTTACTAGTGTTTAGGAATAATTGTTCGTTTGTAAGGATTATAGAACTTGTCATATATGTGCATCGGTTCAAGTTCTCACACCATACGAGCACAAAACGATGGAATTATTAAGATAAGTCGTAGGACAGTAGATGGATTTTTCTATTTATTTAAACACATAAATATTAATACAAAAGAGCACCGGATACATATACGTCACACAAATCAAATGAGATTTGTGTGAGGGCTGTGATATTGTCCAGCTGCCCAAACCGAAACAGGTGGTTTTCTTAGGGGGCCACACTCGGAGCCTTTGATCTAAAGATCTGATCCACATTCGCTTTTCGTTCTCTCAATTTCGTAAACAACAGCTATGGCGTGAGAAGGTATTGAGTAGGACTTCCCTGACAGAGGATATATACGCGTGGCGATGTGAGAGGATTTGGAGAGGGAGGGCGGCCCCTCCTTACTCTTGGCCGTACCAGGGTACTTGGGGGCACTTTTAACATCTAAACACATACGAATGATAATAAGCTTATAGTTTTCTTTCTCAATGTTTACACATACACACACAATCCCCTCTCATTGAAAATAGCTGTATTCCTGAGTTAAAATACAATACAATTGAAGAAAATACTTCAATATAGAGTACCATATTTTCTCTTCGTCATCATCACCATCATTGTTGCTATAAAATCTCTTTAGTTTTTGTTTCTTTTTTTGTTTATTCATGTATAGCATTAGTTTTCTTTTCTTTTCTGTCTACTTACATATCTACTACTAAGACTCAGTTAATATGATAACTATTTATGGTATTGTACTCCTTCTTTCTATTAGTTGATAAGTTCCAATATAGGTAGATAGATAAATGTATATTCACAATTGGTTTATCACTCATTGTATATTAAAACAACAGTCACCAATTACTCACTTGTATATCCTTTAGATTTAATTTTTTTTTAATATTTATTTGTAAATAAATGTGTTAGTGACTAATTCTTTATTAAATTGATTGATTGGTTGATTGGCTAAGGGGTGATTGGTCAAAAAACAAAAAAAAAGAGTGTTGTGGTAAATTGTCTGGTTTGTCTAATTAATGATTGGTTAATACCAAAAAAAAAAAAATAGTTGTTGAGATTGTAAAAGTATTAGTAGTAGTAATGGTAATAGTAGTCATAGTAGTATTGTACAGCATCCTAATATGTATGACTCATTTTGTTGTTCCTTCCCCTTTGTATATAGATATATGTATGTATAACACGTACATATTAAATTGTCTGAATTAGTATTTATAGCTTGATTAAGATAAACATGTTGAGAAAAAAAAAAGAAAGTTTAAACTCTTCATAAAGGTTGATTTTACTAAAAGAAACACATACAGAAAGAAGTGTTATTGATCAGAAAATAGAATAATTTTCTATATTTTACTTTATACGATAAATTGTCTTTTATCCTTAATGAACTAGCTCCATAGTGTCAATCGATTGAATTTGAGTTGTATCGGTTTATTGATTTCTGTTGTGTTACTTGTCATTAGATTTTTTCCATAGCTTGATTATTGTACAAAGTTGTAAGCCCCCAAATGCCTTGCTATGGCCGAGAGTAAGGAGAATCCGCTCTCTCTCTCTCTCTCTCCAAATGCCCTCACATGGCCACGTGTATATAGCCTCTGTCTGGAAAGTCCTACTCACTGTCTACTCGTGTCATTACTTTTGTTTACGAGATTGTGAGGATGAAATGCGAATATCCGGTTCTTTAACCGGGTTAGTGAACTCGGAAAGTCCACCTAGGGGAGTTGGAAAACCCTCATTCCAAACAAATGGTGGACATGGGCTCCAGTAACCTGATGGAACAAATGACGTATGAATCAATCGTTGGTCACTGGCTACGATGGGACTGCATCTCCTTACGATGCTCCACTGTCTTGTGGATCATTCCTTTAGGTCAAATGCTCGAGCTGTGGCCCCTTAAGAAAACCACCTGCTTCAGTCTGGGCACCCGGGCAGTATCACAGTTCTCACACAAATCAAATGAGATTTGTGTGGCGCATATGTAACTGGTGCTTCCTTGAACCAATATTTATGTGTAAATAAGTAAATAACAAAGTTGTAAAGATGAGAATGTAAAAGACAATCAATCGTTCTGTGTCACTTAGTTCATCATGAAATATAGAGTAGTCATTAATATGTTGTAAGAAATATTTCTATCATTTGTTGTTAGCTTCCAGGTTTTCCATTATGGGTTTATGGAAGTTATTCAGTTTTTCTTTTTAACAGATAATTACATCATGAACTGGATTTAATTGGACAACTGAATAGATGTTTCGTTTAAATAAGGAACTCATACTGTCTGTGGTCTAAAAATCTAGAGTTGGATCTCTGGCTATGCCGTAGATTCATAGAGCTACGAGCTTCTATTACTATGGTTTGTTCATTTCTAGTCTACCTAAAATGAGTCCATGATGTACACTGTTTTGTACTTAGTACTATAATTGTACTATTTATCATTGTAATAAAGATCTCAATTATTTGAGTTCGAACGGTCTTATCAGTATATCACCAGCTACCTCACACAAGCGCACATTCGAAAACTGTATATGTCAAGCCAAGTTAGCTGGTTTTGGAATGAAAACGAGCTTTATTTTGTTCATTGAATTGTTAATTGAAAAACTTATCTATAAATTTGTTTCCCCAAACGTCTATAGTTGTTATATCTGAAGCATTACAAATTCACTAGTTAGTGAACGGAACAAAGACTTGTGACCAGAGACCGATAAGCTAGCTATTCTGACGCGACCCAGATCCAGCTAACTAGAGTAAGAAGTCCAATTCAGAAGCGGGGAAGTTATATTCCGTAGCAGCCAGAAGCACAGCAATCATAAGGGGAAAAAGTCAAACATATATATACAGCAACAAATTGTCCTTGGGCATCATTATAAAATAGCACACTTAAAGAAACAATGGACCAATAGCGCATAGATAGTTTACAAGTGGGAAATATGACTTGAAGTTAAAAGAGCGCTTTTGGCGCAAAAACAGCTAAATTCAAATTTTCAAAAGAAAATTACAAAATTAAGCCATTTATCAAGTAAGTCCTGGGGATTTGACATCCCCAACAATAGCATTAACTTTATACACAATGAAAGTTTTAGTATATTCATACATAATATAATGACATATTCCTACTTTTTTTTCTTAATTCTTCACTTTTTAGATTTACGTCTTTATCGTGAACGTCCTCAAAATGGTATCTCATCACAATGGGATGTTGTTGTTGGTCCAACAGCTGATCAATGGTTAACATTTATTATGTCATTAAGTCGTAATGAAAAAGAATATGATTTATATTGTTTTCTTAAACAAGATTTATTTGAATTAGTTAAAGAAAGTTTAGATGCATTAGAATTGCATACACCAAATAGTGAATTAGATTCAAATTATTTACGTACAAAAGAATTAAATGAATTAACTGAATTGAAACGACGTCAACTAGGTATAAATCATAAATCTTTAGTTGAAAATGATAAATTATCATTAAATAGTAATAATAATCATCATCATCATAATACAGTCAATCATCTTAATGTAAATGGTCCAAAAAGTGCATCACCCGCATTTTCCGGTGGTCATGGTATCAGTGGAATTGGAAGTTCTGGTAGTTCTACATCTGGTGCACCACTTACGCCTAGTTCAGCTCGTACACCAACATCTGCACCACCTGCATCAAGTATACAACAACAATTATCATTACCACCTCCTTCTTCAGATTGTTTAGAAACTTTACAAACATCAATGAAAACAGAGTCTTCTTCTGGTACAAGTAAGTTATCCTTATTGTTGTATTATTATGATTATATTTGTTGAAGAGTGTAAACTTTCAAGCATTTACATTTTCAATGTCATCGATTTCTTCGAATTTATCGATAAAAATGTGATTTTAAAGATAGCATACTTATCGTAAGGTCTCAACCTTATGAGTTCGAACCCCGGTGAGTTTGTATGTGAAGCACTCTATTAAAGATTCTCGAACATGAACAAGACAAGCCTACTCAATGATCCTTTTAGTTCTCAATGATCTTGCAACTGAACTTTTTTCCTTGATACAGTTTATTTTCAGATGAGAAAGATTTATGATCAGTCACATTGGTTCATAGTTAAATTTCTCATCTTACTTGGTTTAATTGGTGTTGGATTCATTATACATATACCTAAATAGTTGCGTGTGGGTTTTAGTGCTAAATTAAACGAACTTGTTATTTAGTTCATTAAATTGAATTAGTTCAGTTGATTGAATTGTTTTCAACTGTTTCACGAGATATATATATTAAAGACATATTTTCTTTAATAGACACATTCCTACTGTATTTCATTTTATCTCTCTCTCTCTCGCTCTCGCATACACACACATACACACTTACTGCCATCGTCTGGCTACTTTCATTTTTCTCATGAGTAATTGACGTTTCCATTGTGGTTTTTTGAGTATGTATGCGCATAGTTCCATTGAATATTTCCTTGTTGATACGTGAGTGTGTGTGTGTGTACCAGGCCATGTGTTTCATGATGAAGGTCAAATAAAACAAGTATACAGGTTTTTCAGCAACAATCTTTGCAAAAACTAGAATATAATGAAAAAATAAAAAAAATTTACAACAAAAACACGTTATACATATTTTATATAACATTTTCCAAGCAGAGTTTAGTAATGTACTTGGCTCCAAGTCATACATGTGTATGATAAAGAGTTCAGTTCATATTAAACAACCCATCTTAACTGAAAGTGGGGTCGAACCTGTGATGTAATGGTCTGAAGCTGAGTGTTTTTATGTGCAACTAAGACTTTATTGCCATACAGTTGTTACTTTTTTCTCTTCATAACTTTCTTTATTTCCCAACATTTGTGAATCTCCACTTTTACACTGATCGGCAAGTTAGTAAACTAGTGATTAACTTTTTTTTATTTTGCGAAAAACAAATTTACACAACTGAACATTATAAGACGGTTTGACGATCAACAATTGAATTATTATTGAATTTAGGAATTCCTTTCACTTGCTATGATTTTCGTGGCTGAACGGTCTTTATATCTTTAGTTCTTATACACACCAAAACGTGGCATAAATTCATGAAGTCACTGACAAGTGGACTGAGCCATGCTGGTAGGTGTAGACTACCTGGTTGGGATTCGCGAGATGATAGCAATCGATGGTTAGAGACCTTGAATGACATGGCTCAAAATCGTTTGCAATGGCGAAGATGCATCCAGTCTTTGTGTTATCCCAATTTCTAATCTTCTAAATTCTTCATGTCCCTTTCTTTTTTTCTCTTTCCAAATTTATTTCACTGTATTATACTCCTTGAATAACATCTTCAAACCCTAATGTTTCACATAATGCTTATAATCTTACTACTTCTATCACTATGGGATTTGAATCGGCAACTGGATCTCTGTGCTAATGTGGTATGGCAACTCGAACTGATGTACATACTTACGAAGTTCTACGTTGTGACTGACTGGCTATACACAAAAATAACTTCTCTCTGAAGTCTACTTAAATGAGTTGTTTAAAATGAAGATTAGGACATGACTATTATTATTAATAGAAAAATTTGACTACTCATTTCTTGGTTAGTGGTGTGTATGTATATACATATTTTGTAATATATTCAATGTATATACCGGCCTACTACTTTTGTTATGATGTTAATTTATCTGAGAAAATTTTAATCTATTACATTTCAATGAATTATTCACTCTCTAAGCATAAAATCTACTCTAAAGATTCCAAATTCAGTAAGCACTCATTTATATCTATAATAGTCAATTCATTAGTGATTTATGTCGACATGAAATTTTTGAAGTTCTAATGGGAATTTGTGATCACTAGAGTTGAGACATGTGTACCACTGAATAGTTTTGACTGTAAAAAACATTCGCTACGTAAAATCTGATACTCTTAGGTTCGGTCTCTGATGAAGTTGTGAATAAGAAATTTCAATCTAGGACACGAAACAATCTGTCTAATGCTTCATAGTTTTCGGTAGTAATTTAGTTGATTAATTATAATTATTTATTTAAACACATAAATATTGATACAAAGGGGCCACCAGATATATACATGCGCCACATAAATCTCATTTGATTTGTGTGAGGGCTTGGATGCTACCTGGGTGCCTAAACCGAAGGAGGTGGTTTTCTTGGGGAACCACACCCGGAGCCTTTGACTAAAGGTTTAACCCACAAAGCAGTGGAGCATCATAAGAAGATGCAGTCCCATGCTAGCCGGTCACCAACAATTGATTCACACGCTATTTGTTCCCTCAGGATACTGGAACCCATGTGCACCATTGGTTCGGAATGAGGGTTTTTCAACTCCCCCAGGTGAACTCGCCGTATCCGCCAACCCGTTTAAAGCTCCGAATATTCGCTTTTCGTCCTCTCAATTTCGTAAACAACAGTAATGCCACGAGAAGGCAATGAGTATGACTTGCCAGGTAGAGGCTATATACGCGTTGCCATGTAAAAGCATTTGGATCGAGAGAGTGGACTCTCCCCACTCTTGGGTGTACCAGGGCATTTGGGGGCTTTAAAAGCTCACCAGCTCCGGCCAGGCGGATTGAGGTCAATCCGTTACATATATTACTTATAAATTAAAAAAGTATCTTTATATAATACCTTTATTTTTTACATTACAATCTGTTCTTTTTTTTTGATAACTACTCAAAACACTAGAATATACCGTTCATATAAACAATAATCATGATAACAGAAACAGTTTTTTTTTAATTCCTCTTTCTAATATTAACATGAAATCGGTCATTTTAAGTAGTATTATTAGTAGTTTTGTTTTGTATCCATGATCATATGACTCTTTAGGACACTCAATCTAATTTATTTGTATGTTTTTTTTTATATATTCATTATTTGAAAATGTACTTTATGTTTTTAATGTAGAAAGAGATAAATATCATCACATGATAATGATAATACTAATAACATTGTTGACACTAGAAAACTTTATAACTAAAGGAACTAATTCACTTACTCACTCTCTCATTCACTCACTCACTCATTTGTTCTGTACATAAAATAGTCAGTTAGTTAAATAAGTAAATGGGATTATATTTTACCTAAACAAATGATATCAAAAGTATTTTACCTTATTATGGATTACTTTTGGTACGGATTCAAAAGACAAACTTGTTCCACTTTTTGATGTAGACGAGATATTTGTTTGCCAACCAAAAGTCGAGTTTACTTCTCAGCAGTTCGCTTTATCCTACTTAGTCAGTGCGAAACACGGTTATTAAGAGTAGAGGATATTCATAGATTACTAGTGTTCGACAATAGATGTCTTCGAATCATTGTTCGTGTATTTTGGGACCACTGAGTAAACAGTGTATGGGTTAGGAATAAGGTACCTATTAAGGATGGGGAATAGATTGATGAGGTGGTATACCTTCATCAATTCAGGTAGTTAGGACATGTGTTACGTATACCCAATCACCAGCTACCTCGATGGTTGATGTCTTATGTGACAGTGACCTGAAAGAAAGCTAGGGATGGCCAATCCAAAATCTGGTATCAGTCCACGAAGCCACTGACAATTGTACTGAGTCATGTTAAAAAGTGTAGACTGTCTAGTTGGGGTTCAGTTGATTATCGTAACCGATTGTTAAAAAATTTGAAAGACACTACTCAAAATCGTTTGCAATTACTCCGGTTCATCAATTCCTTGTCTTTCCTCAAATTTTCGAGATTTTGAATTCCTCATACCTTGTTTTGTGTTTTATTTCATTGATTTATAAATTTCTTAAATTTTATATTCGATACCTAGTCTTTCTGTTGTCGTTGACACTGTTACTACCTCTACTTTTTCGAATTTGTTATGACAATTTCATCTATCTGTATTAATGGGTTATGGCAACTGGAACCGATGTACATACGTACCAGGTTCTACGTCGTGATTAGCTGATGATAGAGTGAAATGATTTTAGATTCACAATTTTTTCTTTATATGGATTCCAGGAAAAAATGACTGTCAGTATGCATTTGTTTTTGAAACTGTTCTTAACACTTTCTTATCTTCTTACATACTGTAACTTATTTCACTTAGTACAGTTAAGTGTTAAGTCTCACAATACTTATGTTAACTACAAAGTCTATCACAAAACTACTGATTTAAAGAATGGATTACCAGTTGACTCGTTTGGTTTGTAGGTCTGATTGTATTTTACATCAACCATCTTTAATGGCTATCAAATTAGTAGTAAATTTAGAAATATCTCATATTGTAACTTATTCATCATCTTCTACTACTCAGTTTTAAATTACATAGCTTGTAGGATTGTAGCATTATCCGTTTATGCAAACCCCTATGTCGACGTAGTGCAGTTTGAATCTGAAATTATCTGTTCGTTAAAAACTGAATGCCTTAACCAGTAAGCTATACTGTTTCACTATTGTCAATAAACACGTTTCTCTTAACAAAAACATCGTAGTGCAAAGATTAACACAGGTCATTTGACGACCTACTATCATATTATTCTTGATAAATAAACAATTTAAAAATGAGTAATGATTACGTGTGTTAGGTAGGTAGGTCTGATCAAATCTATTCTGTAGTATGATACAAAGTTAGTGTACACATAATGAGCAGATTGATTATTATTTCTTTCAGAAGGGGTTTTTGTGGATATTTCGATATTTTCATAGTTGAAATCACGAGTCGATTGAAGCTAGACCACCATGGAAATCCTGGAAGCACTGGACAGCCGTTTCATCCTATAATGGGACTCCTCAGCAGTGCGCATCCACGA